AAATGGAGCGTTCCCGTTTGTCGGTGGTTAATGGGTTTTGTATTGTTAGCACTGATTTGTCTGTACATAAAATGGTTGGCTGGATGCGAAATGAGCTTGCCTCACTCCAAATATGGTCAATTCTGGTTACAAAAACCAAGATGACCCCCAAAAATACTCAAGACTTTACAAATAATATTTCACATTACTGACAATCATTTTCAAGAACACGTCTGTAGATGTTCAGCTTTCTGATTACTTAAAGGTCCCATGTCATGCTTTTCTGGTTATCACCCGTCCCCTTGTGTGTTATGAAGGTTTCTCTGCATGTAAACGGTCTGCAGAGTCACAAACCCTCAGAGTACAGACCCGCCACGTTTTCGTTCTAAAGACGCAAAGGTAACTGCGTGGGCGCGTTGCATGTGAAGGTTAGTCTACGAGACGAAGAAATTTGGAAGAACTATGGATAAAAGTTAATTAGATGATCAGAAACCATTATCGTTCGTACCAAAATGAAACGAATCTACGGACTTTGACAGATTTTCGGTTTCTACAAATAAGTCAATATTTCTCAAATTAAAGTACCCGTAAAGTACGACTTAACAGGAATAAAACCGATAAATGTTTTTTTTGTGGAATTTCCAGGGCCAGATACCGGTAAAATGACCTAGTATTGAGGTAAACTCCAGATGATTTTATTTACATCTGAACACGTTACAAAGTTTGAGTAGTAAACCAGAGTATGTCGAGAGACATATCATACACATAAGCTGAGAGACGGATTTTGCCGAACACACTCGAGGACGGGGGGGGCGGGGGGGGAGGGACACTCGGTCCCCAACCAGCAGACGCTCTGTGTCGCGTGGGTCGGGCTTGTGTGTGTGTGGGCGATGGGACCGACCCTCACACACACAGCGGGGCTGACTCAGACAGTGACAGAGTAGGCTGGGGGTGGTCACCGGTCGAGGACCAGGACGAGCAGGGCTTGGCTCAACACACACACACTACTTCCGACGACACAGGTTTGCATTACCGAGGCGGGGGGAATGCAATGCAGGTGTTATGGGTTTATGCAAGTGAGTATGGGTCCTTCATGTTACCCTGTTTTGTTTACAGGTTGCTTCCGCATAAAAGCACCCCGNNNNCATGTAAACGGTCTGCAGAGTCACAAACCCTCAGAGTACAGACCTGTCTATGCTGCCCCAGAACGCCTCGTTGGACATTTATCTTTTTCCATTGTTTACTTCTTTGGTATAATGACGTATTTCGGGTATTGTGACGTAATTTAACGTCCGCGGAGCCGTTACTTTTGGACCAATCAGCAGCCTTCCTCACACACACACACACACACACACACACACACACACACACACACACACACACACACACACACACACACACACACACACACACACACACACACGGCAGGACGTTTCTAGGCTCGCTGCTGCGAGGAGCGGGACACATTGAGCTGGCTCACTGGTGTGGGGTCGGCGAGACAGCGAGACAACGCAGAACTCAGCCTGAGCACACACACAAACTCCCAGCCAGGCTGCGGGTGTGTTTGTGTTTGGGGCTGGGTTTCGCAGACGGCCACTGGGCTCACAGGGGGGGGGGCAGGAGCTCCAACAAGCCGTTTAGGACAGAGAGTGAATACACATACTATACAGAGATGCTGGTGAGAAACCAATGTGAGTTTGGAGCATTGCACAATATACATTTATTTTAGTAGACCTCAACAATGGAATTATGATCAGTAGGAATGGCCATGACATGGGAGCTTTAACAGGTGGTTTTTATTTGCATTTCTTTCTTGGATGAGCAGCAGAATAAAATCTAAAGTAAGGAAAAGATGTCTGACTTGCAGGAGCAGCACTTCAATGCTCAAAAACACTTGTATTGGTTTTTATGAATAGTTTACTACATATTTATAACAAATTAAGACATTTGTGAAGAAGATGAAATGGCGTTTGTCTTGAGGAATTTTATCTAATTTAAACTATATTAGGAAATAAACTGACTGAGGGCAAGGCTCTTTCAAAATATAGCTTTAACAGGTGGTTTAATTTGCATTCCTTACTTAAAATACAGGATCTAAATGTCACCCGAAGTAAGGAAAAGACGTCTGACCTGCGGCCGCAGCACTCCCGATGGCCTGCAGGGTGGACCTCCCGCTGCTGCCCAGCCGAATCCTCCCTCCAGCTGACCCCAGACCCTCTGAGGAAGAGGAGGATGAAGACATGGAGCGGCTCTCCATCTTCTGCTCCACGCGGCCCAGCTCCACCAGCACCTCTTTGTAGCGCTCCATGAACACCAGCTCCCCGCTGCAGGCAGACGCCCCCAGATCGAACACCAGAGACACCTGCAGAGAACACAGGGAGTGAAGTGAGCTAAGAAGTCTCCAAAATAAACTTTGCTAAAATGATTTGTAAGAAGCTATTAAAGTAGTTTGCTCATTTCAAAGCTAATGTACTCATGATCTGTACATATTTTATATTAAAGGTCACCTATCCTGCTATTTTTAGGCAATAGCATAGGTCTCAGATATATAGAAATATATAAAAACATGTCTATGAAGTGTTTTGCTCAAAATACCAAACAGATCACCCATTCTAGCCATGCCTCATATCCCTCTATTCCACTTCCTGTTTCTAAAGTGCTGATTTGGGTATAATAAAGCTAAAAAAGTAGGGGTCTGAGCTCATGCGGGGCCCGGCAGCTACTGTCTAAACTAAATGCTGCCGTGATGAAACGCCATATCATGGATTATCAAGGATTATTTCTGAAACAGTATGGAGCTCAAAGGCTTTCTCTCTTGCCGGTTATACCACAAGGTGAGTTCCTTTTTATTTCCTGCTTCTTCACACACATGCTCTCCAGTACAGGTTAGCTCTGAGTGTTAGCCATGCTAATGTAAACACCGACCATATTACGTCCAAAACAGTCGGGCATTGTTTCTGATAGCAACGTTTCTGATGGGGCCGTGCCGCATTTCCGATATTACGTCATATTGGACGCAAATCTGGATCAGCTCCGTTGTAGCCCCGTTTTTAGAGATTTGGGTACGGAGGAAAAGAGAGAGGGTTTTATTTTCTGACGCTGCGTGAGTTCCCCGACACACCGGGGACACATCTTTATGTATAAAAGACATTAAAAAGTGCATTTTGCATGATAGGTCCCCTTTAAATATTTTTTTTGTGTGTTTTTTAGCAAACGGTGTGTGGGTTCGACCTGCTCAGAGCCAACGGACACTCGTACGTCTGTGACGTTAACGGCTTCAGCTTCGTCAAAAACTCCATGAAGTATTACGACGACTGCGCCAAAGTCCTGGGGTAGGTTTATAACATATATGTTTTTAAATTGCATTCTTTACAAACCCATATTTATGTGTTTTTTTTATGTTGACCAGCACTTATAATCGCAGAAACTTCTTCATGGCATGAAACAGAAAACATAAATATAATATAATCTCTGACTTTCTTTATCTTTGTAAGCTCGTCGTTGACAAAGGTATTTTTTTGATTGACTGAAGTTTGTATTATCTTTAGTGTCTTGATAGCATTTGAGCTTTTTTTGATTATTTTAATGCAATTGTTTGAATATACAATATCCAGTTTAAAAACTCAGAAGCAACTTTTAAGCAGAATATCTTTATAAAACTGATTTGCACACGAGGACGAGGAGCCTGCCGAATGAATGCCATCCTAACTTTTGTTTTGTATTAATTCCTTTCCATTTTTTATATTTACTTAATGTTCTCCAATCTTAAATTCTTTACATCTGTTATTCCTCACCAGGAACATGGTGATGAGGGAGTTAGCGCCTCAGTTCCACATCCCCTGGTCCATCCCCATGGAGGCTGAAGACATCCCCATCGTCCCCACAACCTCAGGAACCATGTACGTACCTAAAAACAAAGATGTCTGCAGCCTGGAAAAGTTCTGGGAAATATGTTGATATGGGGACTACTACACATATAATACAACATGCGATTAATGCAACATTTATCTTTACGCTGATTTAAAGTAGTATGATTATAGTGGACTTTTGTTGAGTTGGGATGGTGAAACACTTTTGAATTGTTTTACTCCTTTGCCTGTTTCAGGATGGAGCTGCGTTGTGTCATCGCCATCATCCGCCATGGAGATCGCACGCCAAAACAAAAGATGAAAATGGAGGTCAGACATCCTCTGTAAGTCTCTTTTAAGTGCTGCTCCAGCATTCACATGTATCTCCCTCTTTCTGTCAGCATATATTTAAAGTATTGGGTCTATTGTGCGTGTAATTTTTTATTTTCAACATTAAATATGAATATTTTTTACAGTTTACATCATTTTACTTTAAAGGGGACCTATCATGCAAAATGCACTTTTTTATGTCTTTCATACACAGGGGCGGCGCAAGGGGGTAGCTTGGAGTTGATATAGCAACTCCAAGCAACGTTCCTAGCAACGGCTTAGCAACCCCATTGTTTTGTTATGAAAATGTATCTATATATTTATACACATTCTCGCGAGATCTATCAGGGTTCGTTGTAAGTGAAAGCGCAAACTGTTGGCTAATGTTGTTAT